TTTCTTTCTTTCTTTCTTTCTTTCTTTCTTTCTTCTTTCTCTCTCTCTCTCTCTTCTCTCTCTCTCTCTCTCTCTCTCTCTCTCTCTCTCTCTCTCTCTCTCTCTCTCTCTCTCTCTCTCTCTCAATCCTATTTCTTCTTCTCCCTTTCTTTTTACCCTTTTCTTACCCCGTCTTCTTCCTCTTTGCTTCTGACCCTGTTTCCCTTCCCTCCCCCCACCACCTCTCCCTCACCCCCTCCTCTTCCTGCCTCGCTTTAGCCCACGTGTCAGTGTTAGCCATAGAGGGGGGGGGCAGGGAGGGAGAGGGGGGACCACCTACCTACCTTGCACTCACGCTGCTCCACATAGCCCGCGGTGCCAAAGCTGTGCAAGCGGCATCATTCTTGGCACTTGACGAGGAGGTGTTTGTGTGAAGGGGGGGAGGGGGAGGGGGAAGGAGGGGTGTGGCACTGCCTCCGTCGTGCTTTTCCTTTTCGGTTCATTGGCATTGTCCACAATTTTTATTTTATTATGTATTTTTTTTGTTGTTTATCTATTTTTTATGTTTTTTTTCATTCTCTTCTTCCTCTTTTTCTCCCTCTCTCCCTCTCATATTCCCCTCGCTTTCATGATTTCTTTCCCTCCTGCTTTCTCTTCTCGCCTGTATTCCTCTCACCTTCTCTATCTACCTCCGGTTCCCCTCTTACTTTCCCTTTACTATTCCCTGTATCCCCTCTCCCCCCTCTCTATCCTCTCTCTCTCTCTCCCCTACCCCTCCACCTTTCCTCTCCCTCTCTCTCCCCCTTTACTTTCCCTCCCCTCCCCTCTCCCTTATTCCTTCTCCCCTGCCCTCTCCCTTCTCACTCCCTCCTACCCCCTCTCTCTCTCCCTCCCCCTGCCCCTTCTTCTCCCTCCTACCCCCTCTCCCTTCTCCCTCCCCCTACCCCTCTCTCTTCTCCCTCCCCCTACCCTCTCTCTTCCCCCTCCCTACCCTCTTCTCCCTCTCCCTCCCCCCTATCCCCTCTCCCTTCTCACTCCCCCTACCCCCTCTTCTCTCTCCCTCCTACCCCGTCTCCCTCCCCTCCCCTCCCCTCCCTGGCACCCTTCCTGATATTTATTCTCGTCTCCCTGCTCTGATTGGCCAAACGCAATCGCGGAATGCTCGCCAATTTACCTTAGTGCGCGACTTGCGATTATTTTATCCCTTCCTGCTTCTTTTCCCGTTTTTTTTTTTCTTTCTTTCTTTCTTCCTTCTTTTTTTTCTTTTTATTTTTTATTTTTTCTTCCGACTTATGTTGTTTTTTTCTCTATCTCTCATCTCTTCTCTTCTCTTCTCTTCGGTCCACCCAGTCTCACGGAGGAAAAATGTCTTAATTCTTCTCGCCTTCCTCTCACTCCCCTTCTTTCTTCTCCTTTCTCCTTCCTCTCCCTTCCCCCTTTCCGAGAAACACTTCCTTGGGTCTATTTTCGAAGTTTTGGGAAGGGGAAGGGGAGGAGGAGGAGGAGGAGGAGGAGAGGAGGAGGAGGAGGAGGAGGAGGAGGAGGTGGAGGTGGAGGTGGAGGTGAGGTGGAGGTGGAGGTGTGGTGAGGTGGTGGTGGTGGTGGTGGTGGTGGTGGAGGGGGAGGAGGAGGAGGAGGAGGAGGAGGGAGAAGGAGATAATGTTGATGATGATGGAATGGAGCAGAAGTAACAGAAGGGAGAGAGAGGAGGAGGATTTGGAAAATGGGATGAAGGTTAGTGCAAGGAAGGGAGAAGGGAGAGAAGGAGAGGAAAGGGTAAAGGGAACACTCACCGACTGCTCGCGGGTCGGGCCAGCTCGAGGCTTCCTGAATCACGATGGAAAAGCAGTTCTCACCAGTTTCCAACGGGGGGGGGGGGGGCATTTGCGGATAGGATTTTTTTTTTTTTTTTTTTTTTTTTTTGTGCGTGTGTGTGTCCTTGCGTGCGTTTCCTTGCTTGCGCATGTGCTTGCGCGTGTGAGTGCGTGTGTATATGCGTGTGTGTGTGTTTTAATTGTGCTCAAGTGTCTTCTCTGCTAAATTTAGGTTTGCTTAGTTGGAGGAGAGGAGTGGGGTGGGGGGAAGGGGAGGTGGAGAACAAGGAGAGCATTCGTTGCGCTGGCCAGTAATTCTTGTTTAATTTTGTCTGCCCTTCTTAGTCTTCTATCTTCGCGCCTGTTATATCATTTCTGCAATGATCTTATATCTTGACTACTTTTTATCTTAGCCGGCTGCCTCATAATATATATATATATATATATATATATATATATATATATATATATATATATATATATATATATATATATATTTATATATATATATATATATATATATATATATATATATATATTTCACAGATTGCCGAATATCGACAATAATAAAAATATCAGTGATAACAGAAGCGCGCATTAAAGTAAACAAAACCAAATCGAGTTCCATGCTATTTGATCTAAGAAAGATGAAGACTAAATGAATGAATTGAGAGCAATAAGACTAAAAAAGCACCAGGACGAAAATATCAATAATCAAACAAAGTGAAGTGGGCTGTCGTGTGAACTCGCGTCGCCTTCTCGAGTGCGGCCTTTGGCGTGCACGGAGAGAACGGTCAGCGGAAAAGGAGTGTACGCAAGGAGGACAGTTGGGATTAGAGTGGGTTTGATGAGTGTGTGTCTGTGTGTCTGTCTGTCTGTTTGTCTCCGTGCGTGCGTCCGAGAGCTATTGTATTCTTGCGTAGGGTGGGTGCAGCGGGGTGGGGGGTGGGGGGGAGGGATCGGGTGATGGTGTAAGAGCTCTAAGTATTTTCGGAAGCTGCTGACTTGACTACTGTCGGAAACCTTAAGCCGAACGTGTAAGGTCTCTCTCTCGCTCTTTCTCTTTTTTTCTTGTTTCATTCCTTCCCCTTGCATGTTTCAGCCTGACCTTGGTACTCGTTAAGATTTCCTTCTCTGGATTATGCCTTTCGTAACTGCGAAGTGTAATTGATCAGCTTTCTGGCGCTGGTGGTCACTCGCCTCGATGGAAAGGGAGGAACTGACTGACCCGCAGAGTTAACCTTATAACAAAGGCGCGAAGAGGGACACGTGGAAAGTAGAATTTAAGGAGATTTAAAGCTCTTGCTAGGCCTTTCTCTCTCCCTCCTTATGAAACAAACCAAGACAAGGTAAAAAAACAAGCAGACCAACCAAACGGATGGCGAGAGACCCTAACGCGCTGCTCCTTGGCCTTTGCAGGACAGTAGCACGCGCTGCCAGTCTTCGGAGGACGACGAAAGGTCATCGTCCTACCTGAGGTCGTTGACGTCCGAGGAGGAGGAGCCGACCCGCTACGACCCCGTGCCCTCGGACGTCGTGTCGTGCCAGCCAGCCACCGGGTCCGTCAGGCCCTCGTCGCCCGTCAGTGTGAGTGGAGGGGAGGGGCGGACTGCGGCTTGGGGTGGGGAGGGGCGGGAGAGGCAGCGAGAGTCCGTGGGTGGTTTGGTTGTGTGGTTGCGGGTGGTTGTGTGACGGGCGAATGGAGAAAACGTCAAGGATAAAAGGAGAGGACGTTTGTGTGTGTGTGCCTGCGTGTGTTATAGGTGTTGGTACATTTCATGTTGGTATATTTATTTACTCAAAATGAATCTTTACACCTATTAAAAAACAGTCGATTTCCTCGTGTCCTTACATACCTTGCTTCCTCCCTCCAGCGCGAGCCATCGCTGGGCTTGAGCGAGCTGCTGAACGCCGGCGAGCCCGTGACGAGCGACCGCGGCTCGTGGGGCATGCGCGAGTCCTCCCATTGCGACTCGTGGCACCGCACGGCGCCCCGCTACAGGTGAGACCATCTCGATCTCTTGGGCTCCTGAAGCGGCCAAGGGAGGCTGCTTTAGTTGCCAGGTTAGAAAGGAATAATTGAATGAAAAAGGGCGATATGTCCCTTGTGAAGGGAAAACTAACGTTCTCCGAAATGTCCGCAGCCGCTTCGACGACGAGAGCACAATGCAGAGCAACTGGTACCGCAGCGACGAGGACGACATCATCCTGTCGCCGCGCGCCTCGGAGGCGTTCAAGGACGTGGGTCCGGCCAACGGGTCCGACGACTACAAGACGCCGCCGGGCCAAGGGGCGGTCAAGATCCTCATGAAGAACATCAACTCGATCAAGAAGAAGATCAAGCGCTACGAGGAGGAGTTCGAGTCGGCCTTCGGCTACCGCCCTTCGCACAGTGAGAAGATGAAGCACAAAGAGATCAAGAAGTACATGAGCGAGCTCAGCAAGGCCCGCAAGGAACTCAAGCGTGAGTAGTGTGCGCCCTCCTTCCGTCTCCCTCTTTCCCTTTTGTGAAAAGAATTTGGCCCACGCCTCTTGGCTCCTTAGCATTGTTTCATGTTCCGTTTCCCCATTGCAGAGATGAAGGACGACGTCGCCGGCATGATGTCGGTACCCACGGTGTTCCCGCTGTCGCTGCTCCGCTGCCAGGAGTCGACCAACCCCAACGCCAGGCCCAAGAACACCTCCGGCACGGCAGACACCATCCGCCAGGTGGAGGACAGACTGCGGGAGAAGAGGTCGGCCTCGGGACGCCCCACGGAACTCACTAACATGAACAAGACGGAGATGCAGGAGGAGAAGACCGCTCTGCAGAAGGCGCTCCTGTACTATGAATCGGTTCACGGACGGCCCACCACGAGAGAGGACAGAGACCTAGCACGACCCCTGTACGACAGATACCGCCAAGTCAAGAGGATTGTCATGAGATCGAGTTCGGTGAGTGGGCGGCTCCTGTCGCACCAGGCCAGGGATTGTGTTTCTTTATCAGAATGGTACACGTTTGTTTCCGCCATGTGACTATACAGTTTCTTAATTATTTGTTCTCTTTGCCTACCAGAGAGCCAAGGAGAACATGGTGGAGCTGGCCCCGATCCTGGAGCACGAGGCGATGGACTTCACGCTGGCCTCGCCCCAGCACCGGGGCTCGCTACAAGGCGACGAAATCGAAAAGATCTCCCTGCCGCCTTCCCCGCCCTCCACCCCTCCCGTCTTCGAATCCCCGGTCTTCGAGGCGCCCCAGATGACCACCACGACAACGACGACCACGACGATGCCCGGGGACGACCCCAAGGACACCCGGCGTGGCGTGCCCCTCGGGGACCTGCACGCGCTGCCCCTGAGCGAGCTGCGGGAGAGGAAGAAGGAGGCACGTGACGAGAAGAAGAAGCTTCGGCGAGCACTGCGCGAGTTCGAGGAGAACTTCGAGAGGGACTTGGGGAGGAAGGTCCAGAAGGAAGACCGGGGCCCCATGGAGCAGACTTACCTGGATTACAAGCACGCAAAGGCGAAGTTGAGGCTGCTTGAGGCCCTTTTGTCCAAACACGAGCCTCACAAGGTCTGAGTATTTTTACATTCAACTACCCTAGGATAAGTGCTGATAGAAGAGCTTATTTTTTGGGGAAAGCAGAAGTTTGTAATGTGCTTACATTATATTAAAAGGCAGTAAATGTTTACTGTAAGTGGATTAGGACGAGGTAGGCTGAGCTGTATTAGACGTCACTCGATGAGAAAGGATCGTCCAGTGATGCAACTCGTTTACAGAATGTCTATTTTGCTGTACTAGCAGAAGAGCGAGGTTTATGGAGGACACAAGGGAAGGACGTCCCAGTCCATGTTCCGTGCTCTGTTTATAGCGACAGGCACTGATTATGCATGAACTGTGATACAGATAGTTGTCAAAGTTCCCAATATGGTTTAAAGATTAATTAAGATAGAAAATCCCTTGTTTTGAATCTTCATTACTAACAGTAGGTTTAATAGGGTCTCCCAGTTCTTTTGTCTATATCTGCACCTTTGGAATTATTTTTTTCGTTATTCAGATTGTAGGACATACAAGATTGGGATACTTATTTAGTTGGAAGATGTGGATAGCATCTTGCATATATCATCTTTATTATTATGATTATTGTTATCACAACTATTATTATTATTACTTTTTCTTATTTTTTGTACCACAGAATTTCTAATGCATTGAAGCTTCCAAATATGCTTTCTCCTTATAAAAATCAGAACTGTGCTAAGTGTGAGGTACCTGAATGTAGCGTTAAGGTACGGGAGCTGTGTGGACGTCTAGGGGCACGATGACTTGGATAATGTGGCGAGGTTTGCTTTTCAGTTTTTTTTCTCTCTTACACCCTTGTACTTGGTTCGCAGCCATTGAAGGATATTCGTGTGTTATTTGTCTGAGAGAGGAATGAAGAGGAAAAATGATTTTAACAAAAGGATTCAGATATATCATTTCATGGTTTTCGGGAGAAGTGGATGGTCATTAAAAAAAAAAGAGAGAAAAAATGTTGAGTTCTTTGCGATGGTGTTCCTTGTCTCCTCATTTTGCGAATAGGATTTTTTGTGTAATGTGGAAAACGACAGATGAACTGTGTAAAGGGTATAAAAATGACACAGGTTTAATAGAGGATGGATTTATTTTTGGTCTGCTTGTCACATGATGATTTACAAGTATATCCTAGACAAAAGAATGTTGTGGTATGCATTTACTGTTTGTAAGTGTATGAAGAATATGACTACTTATCACTGTTGGATGTAGGAGATTTGTAGCCTATTTTGTATGTGTTACCATTCCACAGTGGTTACCCTACATAAATAATATATGGCAGCTTGTATGCTGCATCTTCAGTGTACTTAGTTGTTATAACACACAAATCTCTAGTGTATTGTTAGCAAGATGCATTTGGACATTGTTGTCAAGACTGCAGATTTTTTTCATATATATTGTTTGAAAAGCAGGTATGTTGTGGATGCAATTGCATTTTGTATCTATAATTAAGAAGGCGTGTTTAGATCGTCAAGTTTTCCTGCATGTACGAGCTAGCAGTGATTTCCAGAAAACTTATTGAAGCCTGAATAATGTATGTGCTCATCCAAAAAGTCTTCATATTAAAGCTTGGAATTACTATCTGATAAATGTAACAAGTAAGTGTAGTTTAATGTTTGCTTTTTACAGTTATATCCATGCAAATGCATTCACTGTTATTTGAAGAGTGGAGTTTTATAACAGGCTGTAGGGTATAGTCAGTGCATTCACAAGTAGGGTTAAAAAATGACCAGTGATGATACAATATTGAAGTGTTCTTGCCTCTGTAGTTCATTGCAGCTTCAAAACTGTCTGTTGTTACTTTGATATAAATAGTTAGATAAATAGTATTAATAATATCATATATATATGGTTATGTATATTAATGCTCTAGATTATGAAGTAAAAATGATATGGTCTTGTACCTGTTAGGATATTCAGACAAGATTACTAGAGAAATTGATATTATCCTATGTGAAAATGAGATATTGATTGTAGTGGTTGTTTGCTCAAAGCAAGGAAGAAAAAATAACAAAAAGAAAATGTTTTCTTCACCCATTGATCATGCATGTCTCTGCAAAATGATCACATGAAGTCTGACCTTCATTCTTACTGCCAAAAAAAGGAGAAGGAAAGAGAAAAAAAGGATGCAAATGAATAAATATTTGACTTTACAAA